CCCCCCCCCCCCCCCCCCCCCCCCCCCCCCCCCCCCCCCCCCCCCCCCCCCCCCCCCCCCCCCCCCCCCCCTCTACTTCTCCTCTTCCTTCTTCACACCTGACTTGGCATGTCTTTGTTCTCGTGTTTGACACTTCAAATACAATTTTGTTTATATGATACTTTACGCATTATCTCTACTTTACCTTAACCTTCTACTGGAGGAAGTTCATCTCGATCAATTTTAATTGTTTTCTTTTGTTGAGAATTGTGCCAAGTTGCTACGTATTTCAAAGGCTTAATTTGAGATAATCTTGACTACAACAAACCTGAGTAAATATTCAACTTTATTCTCCCTGCTTTCATTTGGACTTTGTAAAGATGGATTAGGCGATTTATCCTCACTGCATTGGGACTTACTGCAGATCTTGTACTGTATGAATTCAGGCATGAATATTACTTACAGAGCAAGTTTTGGACATGTCTATTGTAAGTTGAACTACTTGATCTAGAAGCTAAAGGTATTAGAGAGCCACATGTATATAATTTAAATAATGACTTCAACATGTCACCTTACGAGTAGGCGGGATTCATTTTTTCTATCAAAGTCTGTCACGTGCACAATTTCATTAAATTCATACCTCTGTCTTCTTTAATACCATGTTAAACAACTTGATCTAAAAGCTTGAGCTATTAGAGAGGCTACATTTATATCATTTAAGTGATGTCTTCAACAATGTCTGCTTCCCTATGGATGGCTTTTGCATGTTACGTTGTCTGTCTTCCAAGTGTCTTAATGTCATGGACTGATTTAAAGTTGTTATTGACTAGTTTTGGAAAAACATTATGGATGTTTTCATTTCATTTCCTGTTCTACTTTGTGAATGTGATATTATTCCTTCATTTAGGTTGCTAAAGGTAGTAAAAGTGGTGGAGAATCCATCCCAATGCTTCTGAGAGTTCCTCGAACTTCTGATCCTTGGAATGGTTATGACATGATAGGCTTTGGGGACATTCTATTCCCTGGTTTGCTAGTATCTTTTGCAAATAGGTATCTTTTATAGCATTGATGGTATATTAATATTTAAACCTGACATCTGTTTTGAAATATACACCATTCATTTTTAAATGATACCACATATGCACTAAAACTTTGAAGCGAATTTGTGTCTGTACACTTAACATATGCTTATATATACTGTCATATACATGATCTTTTTTAAAATTAAATTTTAATTCGTTTCAGCAGTGACATAGTAAAGCTGTCTTGGGAATATTGATTGCATAAATAAGTAAATAAAAGAGATTAAATAATTATATTAATATTGAATAAATGAATACTTTTTGGTGTTCAACTATTGTAGTTGAGCAACAAAGTATATTGTTTGTTGCAGATTCGACAAAGCAAATAAGAAGGGGAGACTAAATGGGTACTTCCTTTGGCTGACAGTTGGCTATGGTGTTGGTGAGTGTTCTTTTGGATTTTTTTCTTAATGTTGGTATTTACATATATATGGACTACACGTACGATCCACCAAAATACTAGAACTACATCAAATTCGTGTAATAATATAACACATATTGCAATTATCTGGACTAATACTACATTGGAAATGTCATCACTAGCTAGACTTTGTCTGTTTTATTGTTTCTCACCCTTGGTTTTCTGTTTGTACGTAAATTTATCTAAACATTTAAATCTACCTGTCACTATAGAGTTTTATAATAAAATATTGCTGCTGGTTCTTTCTGTTTTCTTTTTAATCTTAAATACCATCAAGACCTAGGCAGGGTTTTTACGCTCCACCCAAACTCTAAGCTTTGATATCCATGTGTCATTATGGAGTTCTAAAATAGAATATTGTCGCTTCTTCTTCATCTTTTTTAATCCAAAATACCATCAAGACATAAGTGGGATTTTTACGCTCCGCCCAAACTCAATGGGGGTTTGGATTCCCCTACCTTCTTCATCAATAATAATGAAGAATGTTACAAGCAGGAATGGGACTTTCAATATCTTAACCCCCGAAGATCCATCAAGAGGAGGAGATAGAATTGTTCGAAAAGCAATAAACATGGATAGTACTACTTGCATTACAACTATAATCTAGAAATAATTTAGAAATATACATATAGGTCTTGAACAAGTCCATCAAAAAAGGGCTGAGTGATCACTTCCATCAAGTAATAGAATATTGTTTAATGAAACGGATATAATTGTAAACTCGGTGGATAGCTCATGTTACAGTATATGATTTTGCACGTGAGGATTTAGGGTTATGACGTGACTTATAGACTCATCTAATATGTGTATATAGCATCCCTTATATTACAAGTCTGAAGCTAAGTGTATGAAAGCAATAACTCGACATCCATTGTTGATTTGAGCTTGTGAGTGGAATAGATTTACTGCACGAAAAAGGACTGGCACCTCACTTTTCTTTGGACATCCCACCAAGCTTATACTGTCCACTGTACACCACTTCTTAGATGATTACTAAAAAATGATAAAGGAAAGAAAATAACAGGTACAAATTGCTAGTAGAGCAATGTATTGTCGAAATGACTGTGGATAGGTCATGACAAAAGATGCTTGATATTTATCCTGGCAATCAGCTACCAGATTTCTCAGACAAGTCAAGCATCCTTTCTCATTGATTAATTTTATTTGGAAACACAATTACATAAAATTCTGTATTGAAAAAGAAGTTTTTGACAAATTTCGGGTGTTTGTTGGTGATACTGAAGCAATTATTTTGTTGAACAGTTATCGAATTTCTAGGCATAAATTATAGGTTTTGGACCTTGAAAGGAAGGGGCTATTTTGGTTAGAGAGGAAGTGCTAGTGGTAAATTATGTGGTTATTATAATTAGTAGGCTGTTAATCAGTTTAAAATTTTCTTTCTACAGGTTTTAGGAGTCTCTATTTGTAGATTTGTCATAAAATTTTAAATTTGAGAAGAATTTCATTTATGGTCCTTAGCAATCAAGAAGAAATTAGAATTAATTAGTGGAATCCTAGGTGAGAGTTGTATATCGTATTATAGTTGGAGTCTTGGAGAAATCTTAGGTTGTTGAACAGGCTTTCTCCTTATCTTAATAATTATATTATTGAAAATTTAGTGATGCTTTCTTTTTTATTTTCCATACATCTATAATTGTAAATTCTCCTGTTTTCTTAATCTTCTTTTCTCTAATTTCCAATATTAAAAATGCTTATTCAGTTGATAAGGCGTTCTACCACCGTGAGGCGCAGCGTAAGCCTCAAGGCGCTTTGAGGCTTAAGCCTCATGATAGATCATTAAAAGAATTCAAAAGAACATCAAAATATGCTCATAATAAACCATAAACCCTCTTTAAATATCCATAGTAAAACTAGTTAGCAAAATTAGAAGTCTAATTTGCAAACAAACGGTAAATAGATCAAGAAAATAGAAAATAATAAGTTCTCAAATTAGTAATGATGTAACATAATTTTAATCTATAACTGAAAGTGAAGACATCTCAAAAAGATCTTACATCATTACTACCATTATGATCTTTAAAGGAATCATTAACATCATCGTTATCATCCCCATTGTAAGTATTTTTTTTCATGCTTAATCATTTACCTCCATTTGTAATGGTGTATTGTGCTTCCCTTTTTCCTGACATGTGGGTAAAAATAAAAGAACAAATCAAACAATTTATGTTATAAAGAATTAACTTAAAAGACTAAAGCCAATAGTTAGATATTTGAAAAATTCAAGTCAAATGAGAGAACAACTAAGTTGGTTTGCAGCTCAGATTGAGGCTGTAAGCCTCACTAAGTCGAGTTTTAAGCCTCAGTAAATCGAGGTGTATGCCTCACAAATGGCATTTAAGGTGTGCGTTTTTAGGCGTTTTATGATAGCGTCACGTGAAGCGGGATTCAAGGCTTAAGCCTCTCATAGTTATCTACCAAGGCTGATTTTAGCACTCTAATCTAGTGTGATCATTTTAACAGAAATTATTTTCATTCCCAAAACTCTAATAACTTGAATTAGAACTATTCCAGAAAAAAAACCCCACAATGCTGGAAAATTGATTCCTGAAAAATTTTCAATATATTCCTGGAATACTGTAATAGCACCTGAATAAAAAGTGAGCAGGCTTTGATTTCGACCAGAAAACTTGTGATGCCCAAGTCTTAACACTTTCAATCTTTTTTCGTTTTCCCTGTAACCAGTTTGAAATAAAATATAAAACCTGCCAACAATTCAAGATAAAAGATATCTTTTATAGGTTGTTGTGAGGAGATTAAGAGGTTGAGTAAATTTTTGAGAGTCGATGAAAGTTTGGAAAAAAAAAAAAAAAAGAAAGCCAATAACTTAATTAATGTTGTATAGGATAATAGAACTGATAAAGAGAGTGGTTACCAAAGAAAAAGGGATGTCTTAGATCTCTAATTCTCTAACTGGTTTCTATCTGCTGTCTAGCATCGGACAGTTCTGGAAACAGATGCTCTACCAATATGAAGAAAAAATAAATGAAGGAAAAATAAATGATTTGGACGGGTTGAGGAGTGCCATTAACTTGTTATACGAGGTCACATAGAAAATTAATAGACAAAGTTTGTATTATGATGAGTCTTATAATAGATTTGAAGAAGCTACAGAGTGAGTTGTGTGTAAATCATTTTGGTCTTACCGTAAACATGCACTTGGTAGTTGGTCATATGTCATTTTATGTATGGTGCCTATATTAACTTTCTAATTAGTTTTCTATATTTTACATACGCTCATGCTTCAAGTTTTGGTTTGAGATGGACACTTAAAAAGTACAATCAGCTAGAATTATGTTCGATAAGGTGTGTAAAATATCTACCTTAAGGATGGTTTTTACTTATAATCAGGGAGAAGTGATCTTGTCTTTATCTCACATTATTCATAGAGTATACCAGTGTTTATTAAATAATGTACATTACTGTTCATTATTTTTTCTTTGCTTGGTCAATATTCAAATATGTTTCTTGGTTCGTAGTGCATTTGATGACAAAAATCGATTGCTCAATGTAGTTTCTCAATGACATTGGTAATGGTTACTGCAGGTCTATTTTTCACATACCTAGGCCTGTATCTAATGAATGGGCATGGACAGCCCGCTCTCCTCTATCTTGTTCCATGTACACTAGGTATGAATTTTGGACTTCCATTTGGCCAATCTTTTCTGATAACGGGTTTTGTTGAAGACTAAATTTAAATAAATGTGTTCCCTCTATGTTAGTTTAAGCTTTTAGATGTGGTGTTTCAACACGACATCAGAGTAGGGAAAAGTCATTATTTTGAGTATTGCCACCACTATTTATGAAAATTGTTTACACATCAGGCCTGTTAGGCCTTGATAGAAACGGAAAGTTATTAATTCATCCTACACGTAGGGGGGCATGTTGAAAAAAATTCAAATACATAAATGTGTTCTCTAATAGCTCAAGCTTTTAGATGAGGTAGTTCTACAAATTCATATATTTTTTTCTGTATTTTGAGTTTTAACCCTCATCTTCAACTGTAAATCTCAGGACTTTGTGTCATATTGGGTTTGGTTAGACATGAGCTGAAACAACTTTGGAGTTTCGGTGCTAAGTCACCAGAACTCAACCCAACTACTGGACAGGCTTGACACACTCGCCTGGTTACTTTACATATGGGTTCAACAGATAAAGGGGCCATCAATTATAAACTTGTCTTGCAATGGCGTTCTTCTTAAAGCTTTGTAGGTCAATTCAGGTAAAACCCAAACCTTTATGCTGCATTCATGTCTCTCTAATGCATGATTACTTACATTATATCTGCTTATGATATCTTCTCCTCTCACATGTATGCTTCTTTGTGGCTAAGTATTGTAATTTGTAACATTTCTCATCATTTTTTTTCTTTTAGAATAATGGAAAGGTATTGTGCTTTCTTTGTGGCATGTAAAATTATGGTGGGACTAACTTTTGACTTCTACATCATCATGTGGTTGGTTATGAAACCCTTCATTTGGCTTAACATGTAACAATAACTCATTACAAACGTCTTCAGAGCCTTTAAAAAATCCTGCTACTATCTTTATTTCATTTATTTAGCTTTTTGAACTGATAATAGATTTAGGAAGGCATACGATTAGAATCATTTTAGTTCCGAAGTTGCCTGGTGCAGAATGAAAGTATGCAAGTGTTACCCATGTCCCCAGGCTCAAAAGATTGTTTTTTTCTTGTCCTGTCAGCATCTAGACATAGTTAAGATTATTTGTACATAAGTACTTTGCCCAAGTAATGAATAATATCTTTAATGGTTTTTCTGTTGCAGACAGGTATAACTTTCCAAGGTTCATATTTTTGGCTGATGCAAATCCTGAAGTTTTGCTACAAATATTTGTAGTATGATGCAGTTTTGTGCTGAATCCGACAGTTCACTTCTACTGAAGTTTTCTTATTGCTCATCCTGCCCCCACCAGGTCCATAGTAAATTTTAAGTGTATGTATTTTGTTTGACATTGTATAGTTCATACTCCACATGGCCATTTAGGTAAAGGCAAATATACCATTATCAAGACAACAAGAGCACGTCGATACAACAACAAATAAAAAATTAAGCCTTGTTCCCGCTAAATTTAGTGTGTTATTAGTTTATGTTTGTCATTCTATTCAGTTTATTACTAAATCTAGCACCTATAGTTTTAGCAATCATACTCGATTATGTAAGTGGTCATGTAACTGACTGTAAAATATGTTTGCTAGACTCGAAACTTCGATCATGTTTGATTAAGTTTAAATGTAAGTTGCATTCATTATGTGAATTTTGATTTATGAAATGTATTTGAAAGGATTTCTTCGTTCTTATTTATAAGCGATAGTTAGGTGTGCATTACTATCATAATAAGTAACTTATTTCAAATTGACATTGAAAAATTGTTTAATCTATGACAAACTTCACTAGAGAGTAAGTTTTTTAAGCTTAACCAAACATAAACTTCATACTAGACTAAGCTGCCTACTTTTAAGGAAGGGCATTTCATAATTAGGATCAAAGGTCAAGAGATTGTAGATTTGGTATTTAAATATATCAATTAGAAAAAAAATTAACTCAATAGTTAATTAGTAAAGAAAGGAATATAACAAGTTAATGAATTTTTATATTAATTTGGATGTGGAAATTTTGTTTCAGATTTTAAACACTTGATACCTAAAAGGACATGCAGAATTGTTGGTGAAATTTTTTTGAGTAATAATGCAATTTATTTAGAAATAAATAATATAATGTATTTAAACTGTATTTCATTGATTAATAAGTGAAAAATGAGAATATAAACTCTCAATCTAGCAATGAATTAACCAATGTACACTCCAATCCTCGTGAAAGTTTCAGATTTTATCTTATTTTCAAGACTATCTTTGTCAATTGTCCATTCTGCTTTACTAATTCTCATTTACTTCATTATGAGAAATTTACATACCATGATATTTTCTTACTAGAGACCAACCTGTTACGCAAGAAATGTATAGATCATAACTACGTCGAGGCGCGACAAAAATCTACTCAATCGAACCACCGATATCGTCGAGCAACCGAAAATCCGCAACTTTGTAAATGCTCTTGGTATTACCGAATAAAAGGTTTAAACTTTCAAATTAATATGGTTTAATTCATATTCGGTTTTGATCATTTAATGTAATTTCAAAACTTATACAAGTTCAGCCTTGTAATTTAATATTAAATGATATAAATTTTCATCATAGTTTGAGACTTGAGATAGAACTTTGAAATGAATATATACATACCTTTTTTCTATATATCTTATACTTTTGCCAACTTGATAAAGACGTATTTTCTCACTTTCCCGATGGTGGTACCCATTCAAGGAGAATTTTCCGTAAACTAAATAGATGGAGCCGTTAGTGCCGATAATATCAACATTGAGGGAAGGTAACACGATTTTAAGACAACATGTTCTCCGACTCTAAATGCCATGCTTTCTTAGTTCTTAATTTCTATTTTATTTGTTATTAAATTGTACTGTTCATATTGTGATTGTCTAATTTAGTGTTAATATATACATTATTCAAGTATAAATGTGCATGTGTAGCCTAAAAGAAATACCTAGTTGTAAATGACAAAGAGAATTATTTTTTTTGGAAATCATGGTTTTAAGATTACATTGTCATCATCGATCACAAATGACATAGTTCTTATCGAAAACATTTAGGTCACGAACGTCACAACATCCACCTTAAAGATACCACATAAGAGGCAATTTTCAGAGGTAGCAAAATTGAATACTCAAAACAAACAGTAATAATCATTGTGATCACGAATAAGTAATGAATAAATTGATGTCACATTGAATATATTCTACACAACGAGCATAAACATGAAATAAGCACAGATAAGTCTGTTGCATATAAATCAATAAAAAAGAGATTAAAGTGAGGTTACAATCTGATTACATTTTAAACTCGGAATGAGCACAAAATAAGTATGTTGGTCGCAATGAGCGATATTAACATATTGAGTTCAACGACTGAATATATTGTTCGCGATGAGGATACAAAATAAGTACAATTAAGTTTTGTTAAACAGCCGACCTGGCAATTTAATTAAGTTGGGTTATCATATGTACTTGGATCATGATCCATTAAGGTCTAACATGTAAGGTTAGATCGGAAGAACAACTGCCGAGATTTGAGGGAACATGATAATTGCAGAATCTTTGTACACCGGCGTAATCTTGAATTAACTAATGACATTCAGAAAGGATTACGTCAACACCTATCAAACCTACCAATCGTATGTTATAGCTTTATTCTCTAAACAATTCATTAATTAAGGAAGGCCCATTTAAGGTCGGCTTTATAATTGTCTGATGAAGCCAACCTCAGTAACCAATGGGGATGTGCAATTAGAGTACTTTCTCAGTTCAGCACTGTTAGTTGATTTGACAAACAATCAATCAAGGTTAAAAGTCATTGGCGCAAAGTCTCAGCTAGATACTGTTGAGTGACAAGACAAGAATGTGAAAGATGATGGATCTTCTTTACCCATAAAAGGAGTATTGTATCTTTAGAAAGGGAGGATAATACCTTCATATTTCAAATATCTCATTTGATGAAAATTCTTGTAATTTATAAGTGATCATCAATAAAAATCCTTATTTACTTTTCAAAGTCGACTTGAATTGATTTAAAAACTTTTTAACGTCAACAAGTTTGTTGGTCACAAATAAAGAAATGAATAAGCAATGTGTTTTTCAGATAAAGTCGATCAATTTGTGGTCAAATTTAGAGTCCAATGAGTTAATTTCTCAATGAGAGGTGAAATTGTATAATTTCTTTCTGTTTTGATTGAAGGTGAGAGACTGATTGGCTCAATGAGAGGTGAAATTGTACAATTTCTTTCTATTTTGATTGAAGGTGAGAGACTGATTGGCTTATTTTTTTAAAAGTCTAAGGTGTGAGAGAATATCCTCAATTATCATGTAATAGCCCTTAATGTAAATTGAAACTTAGAAAACTTACACTCACGCCTATTTTTTAAAAATTTTCATTTCAATTGTCAAGTAATATGAATTTTCTTTCAAAATCAGGTGCCAACCCTCGCTCCTTCCATTCCACACCAACCCCCTATTGCAAAAACCCTAACTCCATTTTAGCCATGATTAGCTTCTCAAAAAGTGAAGCATGTGTCATTCGTCCTCTAACACCAACTATTGGGACAACGGTGGAAGGTGTATGCAAAGTCTCATCGAATTCTTCTCGAAATTCAGACAACTCAACTAGTAGCAAAGGCTTGAGCTACAATGATGCATAAGGAGTCTAAGAGATGAAGTAGCTAAGGGGTGCCTCTGGGGATCTAAGAGAGAATCTGGAAGAAGAAGAAGGCGACGGGTTGATGTTGGAGGGGGTGGTTGTGGATTTGAAGTGAAGTTTGCAGTGGTGGTAGTGGTGGGTTGTGGATCTGAGAAGGTGGTTGTGTTTTAGGTGGTGCTAGCGATGGTTGAGTATGGATGAGTTGGGGTGAAGAGTGATTGTAATAATTCGTAACTAATAAATAATTTGTTACACATTAAAATGTATGATTTGTGATTAAAATACATGAGTATGACCCATACATTGTGTCTTTATATCAATGACCTTGTGCGATTTTGTGACTAGTAGGTGATCACTATCATAAATTGTGTTTTTGTAATCATGGCACGTTTAATTAAATGGGCTAAGCTTTCTTTTCTATGTAACATTTAAAAGTTGAAAAAGAAAACAGTAGAGCATTATTCCTCCTTTTTATTTATTAGTTTGATCGATCGGCTTGGAGAGTTGATTGTTTTCTGCTACTTTGGGACGCGATTTGCACTTTTCTTGTCAACTTTTATCCTCAAATTTTTTTTTTGAGTATACTTCATTCTCAATCTTTCCATTATGTAACAAAACTCGTCATTACCTCCATTTTGACCATTAAATGATGTATTTGCCCTTCTCCTTAAATAAATAAATAAAATAAAAGAAATCAGTAAAACAATTAAAGTAAAAATAAATCTCACTAAACATTAGTCAATCCCAAATATGGGCTAAGCTTTCTTTTCTATATACGAGGAGATCTACTCTCAACTCATTGAAATTGCATCAGAAGCTTGGTGCAACTATAGTAACTTNTTTTTTTTTGAGTATACTTCATTCTCAATCTTTCCATTATGTAACAAAACTCGTCATTGCCTCCATTTTGACCATTAAATGATGTATTTGCCCTTCTCCTTAAATAAATAAATAAAATAAAAGAAATCAGTAAAACAATTAAAGTAAAAATAAATCTCACTAAACATTAGTCAATCCCAAATATGGGCTAAGCTTTCTTTTCTATGTACGAGGATATCTACTCTCAACTCATTGAAATTGCTTCAGAATCTTGGTGCAACTATAGTAACTTACTCGATAGTCAAAATAAAATCGATCATATTTTTGTTCTAGTTATTGAGCTTACTAGCCAACATTTATTTTTCAGACTTTTGCTGACTTAAGGTTGCAAGATTACAAAAATTCGCGCAAGAGTGGCCTTTGATGGCCCGACACATAATAAATATTACATGCATGTACTATTATTAAATGTAAATTAATTTATAGTACATAAATAAAATAATTATGATTATGTCATTGGCGTGAAAAATATTCCCATGGACATGATATATAGAATTACTAGGTGAAATGAACATAACGATTATCCACCGCTAATCACTAAGGGAGGTGCAACAAAAGGGCAAAGGACTTTTGGTCCAAATGATCGGAGACAACACTCTTACGAAGTGCCGACCGACACGTGTACGATGTTAAACCATTTAAAATTCGCATGTATTCTATGTTAGACTAATTAAAACCTAATTAAAGTGTGGACATGTAGCTTAGGCTTGGTAATGGTAGGGCCGGAGTCGTGGATCTTTATTTTCAGCCCTATTTTCCACTTGCTACTTTTTTCAAGGATAAAGATACGGGAAAATTAGGGACAGTACCCTATAAAAATTAAGTGCTTGATTAATACCTTAAAATTAATTAAAATTACTATTACCGTATTAAATACGTTCAAAACCTTAACCCATGAGAAAAACCCAAATCAGAAAGGGAATCCCTAAATCAGAGCTCTCGAGAAACCACCATTCCTGACTCCAATTCCGACTCCGACTCCGACTCCAACTCTGACTTCAATGTTCTTGTAGAAAGAAAATCTCAAATGCGTTATGAATTTGTTGAGAAGGTGAATATATTGTAATTTCTTCAAAAGAATTGCATTAAGTTTTGCATTTTTCTCTTTTAATTTGGTTTTCCTTCCTCTAGGTATATGGTAGTGAGTTGTACGTTATTGACAACCTCGAGGAGATGGGTATGGTTTCAAAGAAAGAAATCTTACAGGTAACTGTGGAAAGATTACCCTTGATGATCTTATGGGAAGTCATCACTAATTTTCGATGGGGGTCTTCAAATTTAAGCAAACTGTGACATTATTCTTGGTATCCACAAACTATTTTGTCTCACATTCAAAAATGACGACAAGAAGTTAGAAGCTCTAATCATGGGCATTTGTAGGAAATAAACCATTCTCTAGCTGAGGTCCCTCCAGAAATTGATAAAGAAGCATGGCAATCTTTGCATCTCAAAGGTTTAATCAATTTCTTTATGATAGAGTTTGTGTATAAATGCATAAAAAATGTCATTAAATTTTGGATTAGCTCCAGAACCAAATTGTACATTCTTTCCCTTTGATTTTCTAAGACACCTTCAAGGAGTTTAACAAAATGTCTCAATTGGAAATTACATTTACATTTAACGACGTGATGCATTTAAATAAACATCATACGTCTTTTATATAAATTGTGGAAGCATCCTTATGAAGTTTATTGACCAATTCGATAAATTTGAACAACGTACAATTATGTAAATATGAAGACTCTTTGCATAAGTGTACATTCGTTTTTGCAGTCCGTACAATGAAATTGCAAGTGGAGGGTAAAGTTTTGGAATACTACTTGTTGCTTTTGTCTAGAAATTATTGGAATTCCTACATTGATATTTGTTCCATTTGATAGGTTTTTGCCGAGTGATTTGAGATGCATGTGGTGGAGAGTAGATGAGGATGTCAAGGCACATAGCTTGTGATTTTGATGATCCTGGAGGGGCTGATCAGATTCACCCTCGATCAAATTCAGTATTTCGCGCCATTGGAATGAATTCAAGTACTAAATTTGATAATTTTTCATGTGGATTTGTTACTATCATCTTAGAATTGTTTTCTTGTTAAGGTGGATTGTATGTATCTATTAGATGTTATAGAGTCGTTTGTTGATTAAAACCCATATATAAAGTTGAATTGGTTGTTCATAGATAACTTAGCTTCTTTATATCTATCTACCTTTGATGGTTTCGATTTGTTCGACTATTTCCCTTTGAAATCATGATGCGTTCGACTTATTGATTAAAATCATGCTTTCAATTGCATCGATTACTACACTGAAAAAAGTGAATGTTTTTCAGTGTTTGTCACTTTTTTTTTTTTAATTCCGAGTCACTTTTTGAACTCGTGTCACTTTTTGTTTTTTTTGTCACTTTTGTTTTATTGTCTGTTACCTTTTTTTTTTTATAATGTTTGTTATTTTTTTCTCACTTTTTTGAGGTGGAGATGAGTATGCATTTGAAAAGACAATGATACATTAATGCAAATGACTAACAAGCAAAAAACGATGGTGTTTAAATTATGACATTTTGCATTCATTGTGTCACTTTTTTATTGTCTATTACATTTTTTTCGTTTTTTAAATGTGTGACTTTCTTTTTATAGGATTGAGATTTAATAATTCCACAAAATTATAGGTTTAAAGAAAAAGTCGCGTCATATTTTACGCACGAGATAATGACGGAGTTAAATGAAAAGTTTAGTCACTTTATGGAACTGATTTTAATTTTTTTAATTGGTGTTTTGTCACTTTTTGAATTTTTGTCATTTTTTGAGTATTTGTCAATTTTTTTGAATTTCTGTTACTTTTTTTTACCGTTTGTCAAATTTTTTAAAGTTTTCTGTTATTTTCTTAAAAATTCCTTTACTTTTTTTAGAACAAATATCAGTTTTTAATAAAAGTGACATTGTATGTTATTTTGGTATTTGTCACATTTTTTGAGTTTATGTCATTTTTTTGAATTTGTATCACTTTTAGAGAGCGTGCCACTTATTTTTAGTTTTGTTACTTTTTTTTTTTTTTTGAGCTTGTGTCACTTTTTAAAAAAAGTGACAATTTTTATAAAAAAAAGTGACACAATGTCACTTTTTCATTTTACACAGTATTTTTTACTTCCTAAAAACATTTCATATGATTTTTCAAAATATCCCTAATTTTAAGGGTATTTTTGTAAGTACCACAAATTATAATTTGTAACAATGAGAGCCAAACAGGAGTTGCATCCTGTTGACAACATTACCCTTAATTGTCAGTGCACAAAGACGTAATTACCCTCAAGTCAATCTTTCCCCCTACTACTACCTTCCAATTTCGGACCAAAATATTCCTCTCACGAAGAGTACCTCGCCGTCGCGTGAAAACCAGAGAAATCCTCAGGCTCTTCTCCGACCAAAAAATTGGGACTTCACCTCGATGGACGACGACATCTCGCCATGGGGCTCCTACACGCAGACCATGGTATGTATCTATTTGATTTTCCTTCATTTTTCCGGTTTTGGAGTACATTGATTTCAAGCTACAGAGAAACAAGAATTTATTCAACAATGGAAAAAAACTCGATTCATGAACCCAGCCTCGTTTTGCAGAGCTTCACGACTCCAGTACCCGATCCGGTTCCCGTTGAGACTCCTAGCCGTCGTTCAGGCAAGAAGACAGACGCTCGCAAGTGTGCAAGGTGGGATCCCCACGAACACCATATCTTCATCAGCGTTGCAGAGCATGTAACTGCCGAAGGACATCGTCGGGGAAAGTGTTTCTCCAGTACCGGCTGGGAGCGCATCCGGGACTTGTTCAACCGTCAAGCCGGGAAGGATTGGACAATCGCACAGTTGAAGAATCATTGGGGGGTTATGCGAATGGACCACAAGCTGTTGTTCGAATTGCTTAGAAGCACCGGAATTCAATACGATCTGAGCAACGGGGGCATCATTGAAGCGCCGGACTGGTGGTGGGAGCAGAAATTGAAGGTAATTTCCTCTTTCATTAAACACACAGCTCTAGCATGCCTGCATTTTTCCCCTCTTCAAACCCCCTCTTCAAACTCAGAGCTCTTGTGTTGCAGTCAATTTTGTATTGAAAAGGGAACGCCAGTATTGTGTTCATATTGGGAAGGATAACTACATGTATGACACTATAAATACTTGTGTAATGCAGTAGTGCTGTTGTGTGCTTTTCAATCACAAAAAGCCTCAATTGGAAATGAATGGTGCTTAGTATAAACAGGTTGGATATTGCTTGATACAATATAAAGATTCTTCTGGTTCTTGCATTGTTCTTTAAAATTTGTTTCAATTCTTAAAACACTATACCATAATTAGTAGGTGAAAAAGCTCACACCATTTTCGTTATCGTGTTGAATTAAAACTTCGTCTTGGTGGGACAGTGTAGCAAGGGAACCTAAGATTTTTATGGTGCTTTTAACTGAGACAATAATACAGTCTACAAATATTAATTAAGGTATTATCTATTCGAGAGAGCAACCACGCTTTATCAATCAAAGTTTTTCATTAGGGTGATATTAACTACAACATAACGACTCTCTATTACCAATGAACATATGCTTCATTCGTGCCTGCAACTGCTGGATTATGTTGAATGCAAATTTTCCTCTGTGAATTTTCATACAACTAGGCCTTCTTCGGTCCAGGCTATATGCAGTTGCTGATACGTTATTTCTTCTGTAGGAGAACCCAAAGTATGGCAAATTCAAAGACAACGATAACACAGAGATTTACCACACTTACAGCAAATTGTTTGGTGGCAGTCGGGATGCCACGAAGTACGCCTTAACACCGACTAAACTTTCCCAACGCGGTCTCGATCTCAGCTCAGACAGCGACGCAGAGGACCGTAATGACACGATGCCAATCAACGCAGAGACAACGGACTCGAGCGACGGGCCTCGGGAGGGGGCGAATCATTCGTCTATGAATATTTCCCGCGCTCAAAGTGGAGAGAAGCGTAAGGGTAAACAATCAAAGGAAAAGGGAAAGAAGAAGAAGTTTGGAGCGAGGGAAGTATCCGAGTCGGTTAACAACTTGTCATCTGCGTCAAGGGAATTTGCTTCTGCTATTCGGTCAAGAGACAAGGGCGTGATGACAATTTCGGAGTGCGTGCAAGAATTGCTTTCGACGGGCCTCGTACTGAGTGGTGACGAGCTTCATTTGTTTGCGGCGTGGTTCTTTCGCGACACCGAAAACCGTATTGCGTACAGTGCCTTCGATACACCTGAACTTAGGTTCGCATGGGTTGAGTACTGCTTCAAACGCGACAAGGAGAATAACCTAGCGAAGCAGTCGAGGGCGAGACGCAAACTATGATTCCCTTTTTCGGTCGAGAAGCGATGCTTAATTCGTTAGAATGTTCGGTTGTCTTACGTGTTGTTCAACTGTCAGTTTTATGATTACGTTGTTGTGTAATAACCTTTTCGAGATTTTCGTAACTATTTATCACACGTGTTTTCATTTGCATTACGTAGGAACTAGATTTTGACTCTTTTAATTATCCATCATTGTCAAGTACTGCATGCATGTGTTGGAATAACAATTGGAAAATCTTTTGTGTGAAGCAAAGAATATATGACAATTACACTTGCAGAGAATATATTCCCTCATCTCCCCTGCCTTCCCTTTCAACATCAAGCAGAGAATATATGCCAATAATTTGAACAGTATTTGTATGGGTAATAAAGGTCCTAAGAGTCACGAATATGGGGCAGTTGTGAGCTATCACAGAAATCCCCATCTGTAAGGAATTAGTTCCACAAATTTTACTTCTTCAAGGGAAGGTGAGGTAAGAAATCCACCAGTATTGAATCAATTTTGTCTATACTACTCTTTTCTATTGTAGAGTAATACTAATTTTTTTGAATTCAGAATTTAGATTAACAAAGATCTTGTGTTTTCTTACGTGTTGCGTTAGGTGATTATTCATTTACCCAACTATTACTATTTGGTTATTCCTTTATTTTTTTTGTTTGCAAAGTTCAAACTTAGTGTATTTCAATATATGGAGATTGAGGCAATGTAGGAGAATTTCATAAAATTTTTCGCTATAAATCGTAAAAGTTGTGACATTCGTTTTGCCACCTCTCACATTCTCTAATCCTGCATTATAAATATTTGTCAAAATTTTGTACAATATACAAACAATAATAATATTTATCATGTTTCTTCTTTTGTTCCTCTAGATGAGTGACGACAACACTGAAAGTGCGTCTTCTGACACAGAATCCAGCCTCGTTTCCATGTCCGATTCGGAACATGGGTCGGGCGACAATGAACGACAACAGTTCGACGACGATGTCAGGGCCTGTCTAGAACATGTTACAATCGCTGAACGTCTTGTACGCGAGTATATTTCAAGTAACAACGGACCTCGGTACCTCTTTCCTACAACACGCAGCGGTCATATATTTATGCTACAAAATTTGCACGTGTATCCACAAACATGTCATCAGGAGTTTCGAATGTATCCCCCAATGTTCGTGCACTTCACGCATACTCTTCGCGATCAGTATGGCTTAAGCTGCAGTGCAAACGTTGACATTTACGAACAAGTTGGAATGTTTCTGTGCATTTTGGCGCACGGGAATGGATACCGACAAATACAAACGCTATTCGGGCATTCTTTGCAAACAATATCGAAGTACTTCAGGCGGGTGCTACGAGTCGTCGTCGCGCTAGGCGCCGATATTATTAAACCAGATCCCGACTACAATGAGGGGGCGAATCACCATCGCCCCGATTATGCCAGATACCCAGTCTTTCAGGTTAGTATGTGCTCACAAATAAACTACGAACGATTACCGAATCACAATTGAGTTGTTTGATACGAAAATTTGTTTGTAGGATTGTATTGGCGCGATTGACGGCACGCATGTTCGGGCGATGCTGCCGCGACGTGAAAGGGAGGACTTCATTGGCAGGAAAGGTTACCCAACACAAAATGTGCTAGCGGTTTGTGATTTCAATTTGTGCTTCACGTTTGTAATGCCAGGGACACCAGGGACCGCGCACGACAGTCGCATTTTGGCTCGATGTGTCCATAGCCCTGATGTGAATTTCCCGAAACCAAGAAACGGGAAATACTACTTAGTGGACTCTGGTTTTGCACATCGTCCAGGATACATGGCTCCATATAAAGGATCTGATGTAAGGTATCACTTTCAGGAATTTCGGAACAACAATGGAGGTCGACGACGATTTAGAAATACACGTGAGCGGTTCAATTTTCATCACTCGTCGTGTCGTAACGTTATTGAGTGGACATTTGGTGTTTGGAAGCAAAAGTGGAAAATCCTAGATCGAATGCCAAATTACTCATTCAGAACGCAAACTTTCGTTGTCGTGGCAGCAATGGCCGTGCATAATTTTTTGAGACGAAACACGATTGTGGACGAGGACGTACCGTGGCAAGAACTACGTGATTATATAGCTCAAGCCGTTCATTAGTTATGAGAACAATGGGCACGATCCGTTAGAATTATTATTAGCAACATAGAATATTTTTATGTATGACAATTCGGCTTTGTAACGTGTCGTATGAGTTTTATGAAAAGGGAAATCGGTTTGTTAAATGTGTAGGTACGTGGTAGTTGAGGGAATTGATTGTTCGCATGTGATGAGGGCATTATTGTCATTTTCAAAATCTGAAAAGAAGGTTTGCTGCCATTTTTATGACACAGCCATGCCTCACCGTACATGTCCTCTCTGCATGGCAAGTATTGTGGGGCCCTCAATTGTTTGAAAACTGGACAATAATGGGAAAAAATGTGATTTAATGTAAGTTAACGGGGGCTTAATTAATGGATCAAGTTTAATTAAATTAATTAGTTAAATATTGGACGGATTAAGTTTAAGTGTCGAGCTTATCCTACTTGGATTTCTATTATTAAGTTGTTAGAGTTTGAGAAATCACAATACAATTATTATCTTGCTAGAACAAGGAAAAAAATCATATTCTCTCATTCTTATTCCTTTGTGTGGATGACCATTGGATAGTTATGGTGTACGGATATCGTGATTGTTCGTATTCCAAGATTTACAAAGGCGTTTGCAAAATTTAGCAAATGTATTATTCTTTTATAGCTTCTATCTAAATACAAAGCAAATCCTCAATGGAAATTAAAATTATTTTAAATTCTGGTGTGCATGATAAGTAAATTCCTAACAACTGGCTATATTATACGAGTTGCTGGATTGGCTATAAAGGCATGGCATAATCAAATTGCAAACTTCAAAACAAAGGATAAATATACATATTTTGCTAAACCAAATTAACCTACATAGTCCTAACCCTGCAAAAATACCATTCTCTTATGCTTCTCTTGGAACAGAGAAGAAAAGGGCATCATGCATAAGAATAAAACCACAAGAACAGCAAACTGGATTTAGTGGCCAGTATCACAACTGATTTCCCATATGCTTCTAAGATCCATTATAACAAATCTTTGCGAATATTTTCACAATTGAGATCAAATCTGCCAATTACATCAACAAATTCCTTCTTATTTCTTTATTAACTTACAGTTATTACCAGATAATTTGTCGAGGTATAAGAAAAGAGGGATAAACCATTCATCCACACTAACATAAAACAACTATGATAAGCTGAATTTATGAAAATACCAGACTCCTAAACTAACAAAATGTTAACCAAAGCCCAAACGATCGTGATTATACAGAGAGTGTGTTGAAAACAAGATTTATAAAAATTATGCACATGTTAGTGAAGATAATTACCCGAGGAGATTGACGCGCAAATGGATACTGAGCTCGATGAAAAGCTCATACATCTGGCCAAGATCGGCGGCGTTTCCATGTGAATAGAGCAAAGTGGAGGTGGCCATGGGGTGCCTCACATACATCGCAACTATTTCCGTCCCTTTCCTAGTCGACAGCTTCATCACTTCCACATTCTCCCGGTGCGGAAACGGGCTTAGCAGCAGCAGCCCCGTGAAGTCATCCTTGACCACCTTGTACGAAGGCGGATTCGGAGGAAAGAAGGCGAACTTGGCCGCCATTGATGACGTCATTCCACCCATTGATGCTTCTCTGTTACTTGGTAATTTTTTTGTTTGAATTGAAGAGAGAAAAATGGAAGAATCAGATGGAATAAATGGACATTCCTTTGTTTAACTAAACAGTTTCCAGAAGACAGTGAAAGTGTAGAGGAGAAGCAACAATGGTGGACTGACAGATAGAAAGGGGAAAGTGTGTTCATGTGCTACAGAAGAGGGAAATACGCACTTTTAAAATTCACTTATAAGTGAAAAAAATGCTCCACGCGTCTATAAGTGGACAATGAAAGTAGCATTTTCAAGTTATCTCTTTTGCAATGAAAGGACTTCAAAAATTAGTAGAATTAAGCTTCTTGCACAAATGAAATGTACATGAATTTTTATAAATGATGAGGTGGTAACACTGATTGGCTCGTTTGAAGTTTTTTTTGTCATGCCAACTAACAATCTGTCAAACCGTCTGACAAAAATTTCTATACATGTAGCATAATTGAAATAAGTATATGCTTCTATAATAGGGCTTACAAACAAATTTGTAAAGAGCAAATATTTCACCCCAATTTGGTAGATATTAAAATCATAATTTAGCATATTTTAACAAAAGATAATGAAATGTGTGGTTGAAAAGTGATGGATCCCAAAAAATATGCGATTAAAATTGATTGTTGACTTTAATTTAGATTAAAATTTAAATTTTAAATTCTATCAAATATAGTAAATTTACAAAATAGAATATTTATGGATGATATTGAATTTAAAGTTAGTCTGGTTGTATTGAAGTCTAGATTTTAGGTGATAGACTAAATAAAATATGAAATTAAATAACTCATTTAATTGTACTTGTCATTTATAATTGTCCTACTAAAATTTTAACAATTTAAAACTACAGTGATGTGTTAAAATTTAATTAAGGGAAATTCCAAGAAGACATGTAACTAAAGTTGAAGAGGGGTTTGCCCTTATGCTGAATTTACAAAAAACATTGCATTATTTGGTCAAGAAAAAAAGTAGACTAAGTGAGTGTTTGGTGAGAATTATAAAATTAGATTTTTAATAAATTGTGATAGAAGTTTTTGAAATGTGTGGTTGAAAAGTCGTGAGACCCATGAAAGATGTGGTTAATATTGATTGTTTGACTTCGACTTAAATTAAAATCTGATTTAATCAGAAACAAACAAAGTCTAAATTTGAAGTTAAAGTTAATATTTAATTTTAACCGCACATTTTACGTGATCTACAATTGGTCAACAACACACTCTGTCTATTTCTATCAAAATTTATTAAAAAATTTAATTTTTATCTAAATAACCTTAAAATTGATTAGAAAATCACAAAATAAGTACTCAAGTGTTGTTGAGTCATCACGCGTGGGTGTTTGCATTATTTGCCTAAATGAACATTGAAAGAGACGTGACTGGAAATGGTCCAAATTCTAACATCCCACTCCTACTTTCTCTATCTTTTACAATTCTTTCATATTTGCCTTTTTTCTTAAAGAAATAAATGTAATTCACAAAATCTCCATAGGTTATGATGATGATGATTTGAGCTAATTAAATTAATATAAAATTGCCTCAAAAAGAAGAAATAAATAATTATACCTAAAGTTAAACCACATATTAAAATATCCAAATTCCATCGATCGTAGTTTTTATAATTCGTATTCAAGATCGACTTAGGAACTTTACTTACATTTCTTTATAGTAAGTTTTAAATTAATGTAAGGATAAATAAACGAAGGTACAATCTACCATTCAGTTTATAGTTCGCCGTACCAACACAAATCTTTTTATAGCGTCTTTATTTGACTCGTTGAACCTCTTTATTTGGCATGCATTTTTCGTCCAAAGTTGGATATGGAAAGAAAGATGAAATTGGACAATTAAAGCCGAATCCAAGAGCATTGTAGCTCGTAAAGGGGACATTCCCTTGCTATATAATTCTCCAGGCATTTTTAAAATTCAAACTGGACCACCAATTGGGTGAACTTTATAGGGATTTTTCCGGGGGGAAAAAAAGAAAGAAAAAAGAAAAAGAGAGAGAGAGGTCTGGCTCTATAGCTTCCCAATAAAATATTCAACCATATTTGGCTAAATTAGAAAAGTTTACTTATAAGTAAATAAGTAATCTTTTAAATTATTTAGACCTACTTTAAAATAAAAATTACATAAAACTAACTTTTACTTTTTTTATTTATTCAAGGTTAGTCATTCTTTATCCATAAAGATACGAGCAATCCTTTGTGAACTAGCCAAATATTTGGTCTTAGTCCAAAAGTGACCCCAACAATTAACTTTACAGGGGAATATAAGCCATACCTTAAAGACCCCAACAACCATCCCATCCATGAGAAATAATATGAAATAACTATGTATGTCAAAAAAGGGTGACTCATATTATTAGTCTTGAAAATCAAGAATTGAAGTCTCTCTCACACAAATCAAACGTCATTCTTGTAGGTTGATGTGAGTGTTAGTTTAGTATTAGCCTTTCAAGTTAATTTGTCTACACTCAGCCATATTTTGAAATAAAATATTAATTTATTTTTCAAGAAAGTATTTGTATTAATTTGAGCTTACATTTTGTTCATGGATCGATATGATATTATAAATCGAGTGCTTCGAATGATTCGATTTATAATTAGATCTAAATTTTATTTCCATACATAAATTGACTCAATTTAAGCTTTGACTTTGGTAATAAAGTTAAGTGTACATTTTGAAATGTCTTGGATTGGACCAAGTAAAATTTAATCTATGAAATTAAACACATAAATTTAATTCACTTGACTATTGTACGTAGTACCGTAGTCGTGAACAAGTAATGTATTTCGATTACTAACTTAAAGTTTTTTTTTTTTAAGGTATCAATGAATGATATCAAATTGTTGATCGATATCTTGGTGCCTTGAAAATTGAAGTGAAATAATCAAGGAACTTCGTAATGTAGAATCCGTAACTTTTTTAATAGGCATGATCATGACCTCAATAAAAATTTTAATGGATAGTTAAATATGAGTTCAGCAATTTGACATTTACTATTGAATTAATATTGTGATGTAATCACATGGACTGCCAGATAGAAAATGAGATTGAAAATGTAGTGAGCGTATGGCACCCATTTTAATGGGAATAGAAATTTTGGAATAGTGATTGATTGGAGAATGTAGAAATTTTGGAATAGTGATTAATAAATTATCTCAGCTGATCAATAGTTGATCGGATCAAGTTTAATTTATTGGAGTTTAGTTTAATTAAGTGTGTTTGGTCCTTTCGGTGCTTCAAATTAAGAACCAGAATAAATTATAAGAGTTATAATTTACTAATAAGTGTACAATGATTAATTAGTTAAATTTAAATATGTCTTGCATGCGCATTATTATGTAGGACTTTCATTTGGATTAAAATTTAAAAGGAAGAGCCATTTTTTTATCAGTATTCTTATCCAAGCAAAAAGAAAGAGTTCCCATGGGATTAGGATATTTACTTATTCAAGTCAATTCCATATTATAAATATGACACTTGTATTAGAGTTTAACTATCACACAATTAATCAATTCTTGTGTCCACACACATAATTTCTCTTCAGTTTTGAGTTCTTGAAGAAAATAGAAGATCGCCAAAAGGTTTAAAATGTAAATCAAGAAGATCAAACAAAAATGTTTGAAGGTGAATCGAGAAGATCAAACAAAAATAAGATTTGAAGGTGGAATCAAGAAGACCAAAAGAATTTTCGTGAAGCATGTTACAGGGTAATTTTTAAAACCCGTGTTTATCAATCTTCCAAAGTTATTATATTCTTGTCCATACTCAATTTAATAAAATCATATTTTCTAACAATGATGTCATGTGACGTTGGCATCTTCACAAAAAAGATTTTTAGAATGTCAAACCATGCACCTTAACCAATACCATTTGCTCTCGTCGTCTCAACTTGTAAAAGACAAGGGCTTAATCAAAATCTTGATTTAGATCAGAATAGAAATTAGGTAACTGTTGTTAAGCTTTTGTATCAAGTGGTTGAATATTATTTTACAGATTCGGGAGGAAGATGAAGAGGTTGAAGCAGAAGGTGCTAATTATCAGCTTGAAATGATGAGGTGCTTGAGAGAGGTTAATGTCGACAATAACACTGTTGGATGGTGAGTCATCTTCCCATCACCCATTTCACCCCAGCCTATACACATGTATACGTATATATCTGTATCCTCTCATAATGGACATCAGTCTTTTCTTGTAAATGTACAAAAAACAAAATTGATAATAGAGTTACTATAATCATGTCTGGAAAATTAGTGTCGAATATTTTTCTCTTTACAACACACTAATGTGCTTTAGAAAATGACTCAGTAATATTTCAATCAATAGGTCTATGACACTTTTGATGAGTGCTATTCAACCTTAGAAGTTAGAACTATCTGTTCAACAAACCAATGTAAGGGTGTAAACTATACCGTTCAAAGTTGGAAAAGCTATTATCTATTGAAGCGATTTGGGAGTGGTCATCATATTTAAGTGATGTAATGCTAATTTTATTGTGTAGAAAATGTTGATATTACATAATGGTTCAAAAACCTGGCCGGCCCTTCGTGTATCTTTATTTTGTTTCTCTAATGTGTTAAATATATATCCATTGGCCAAAAATAATATCTTTTCTGAACTTTTTTCTCCAAACTCCACTCATTGAAATAATACCACTGTTACTTTCCATAAATTTAAGTTAGAAACATAGACCCCATGTGTTGTCTCATGCTACTTCAGGATAAATGGGAAAATTACATAAAACGCTGACCACCTTTCTTCGGGAAGGCATATAAGGTAAGGAAGAATTTTCATAGAATAGATCGGGAAAGACCTTACTCTATTTTTTCCCTGAAGGAAGATAGGCAGAAGCTTACTCTTCCATAAGGGAGGCAAGGAAAATCTCATTGATAATTTTTTTCTAAATAATTGTGAAGTGATTTCATGATTTAGTTTTGAACGGAGGAAGTATTTTGTAGGAATCAATCTTTTCAATCAGTGAATCAGAAATTTATCCAAACACCAATGTATAGGCAATTATTCTAAGAATCACAACAATAAAAGTAGTTCCTATTTAATCCGTGTTTATGTCTGAATATGTGTGCTGAAAATGTCTGCAATAGCCATCATTTTGTGATTGGAAAGAACTTGACCAGGAATCTGATTGAGTTACTAATACAACAAATCAAGAAGAAGTTAAAAAATCCTCGTTTGCGATCCATGTGGCATTGGACCCTTGAATTCAAATTTTTGGAAACTACTATGATCAGAGGTTGCTGGAGCCTGCATACGGAAGCTGAGTTACATGTGATTGTGGAGCTAATTGTGTGAAATCTGGGGACAGAAACTATCTTGATACGGGAACAAATGCATTATATTAGGAATTGGATATATAAACGATATGAGTTAGCTTTTCACATTATGTCATGTAATCCTATATCTGTTATTGACACGAGCATCTCAAATGGGATGGGCAAAACCTTTATAGCTTTATAGAACTTGGGTCAACCAGAATATGGAAGCTCTGAAATGAGGTCAATCAAGGGACTTCATTTTTCTCACTCAGAATCTGAGTACTTTTGATTAGCACATTAGGATTTTGAATTCTTTAAAATATACGGACTGTACAGATCTCGTGGTTAAATGTGGATTATAAACCTGCAACTGATGTATATGGAGGTAATCTAATACTCAATATGGTAAACTTGCTAAACCAACAAGCGGAAGAAGGATAAGTTAAGGGAATGATGACTCAAATAGTTGGGCCATGGTTTATAAAACCCTTTGAGGTTTATGCCTTGAATCCCACTCTTGTGAGGTTTCTATTAAACGCCTTAAAGCTTTTGCTTTAAATAACATTTGTGCTTATGCGTCGACTTAATTGGGCTTATGCTTCAAGATTAAGCCTCCATTTGGCGAGCAATTTATAAATGGTTTATAAATTCGATCAACATTTTATCAGTCACACATTCATAACTAAGTCTCATGGAGACTAATGTGTTAACCCATTTGTCTTGTCTTTGGCCTTTAACTTTCTGGGCTACTTTTTATAACCTAAAATGCTTTATGGTATTTATTTTTTTTCTATTTTTTGTTCCTCTACGTGGAAAGGCTATTTTTTTATTATAGATTTATAAGGATGGTTTATTATGAGCTTATATTTATATTTTTATAGTTTTTTGAATTATTTAGTTAGTTTGTCTTGAGGCTAACGCCGTAAAATGCCTTGAGGCTTGTCCCTTGCCTCACCTAGGTAAAATGTCTTGGCGCTTGATTATTCTTTTTTAAACATTGGTTTGGGCATTTATTGTCCAGACTTGAAGAAGCTTTGTCCTAAGGGTGATGCAATTTCCATAGATTTACTTAGAAGAGGGAAAGGAAGGGGAGACTAAAATTACACGGCCTATTGGTGGTTGCTGAGGTTCCAACTGGATCTTCTAATGGGTGTAATTATGAACTGAACACTGTGGTAAAAAATGATTCGTGGTAAAAAAAGATTCGTGTTGGTTACACCGAGTTTTTTGGGAGTAATAATGCTTGGGTCTTCTAGTGGATTGTACTGTGGTGAAAAAGGATTAGTGTAGGCTTCTAGAATTAATGCTTAGTTTGTTCTTCTTGTTTTGTCTTGGTAAACATTTCTTTAAAAAAATGCTGTAGCTGCTGGTCCACATTAAATCTTCTGTTTGATTAACAGTGACATATTTTGCATAATGAATGAGTTGCTTATTTTAACATTCATTTTTTCACTGACTACATTGTTCAACTCAACTTAACTTTTCCAGGTATCAATCAACTTTATTTGGCTCTTTTCAAACGGTGGAACTCATTGAGACTTTCATGAACTATCAGGTAATATATCTCTACCTTTTGCTTTATCATTTGCATTTTCTTGTACTTTTCTCATCCAATCCTAGAAGGGAAAAATCTCGTATGACAATTTTTTCTTACTAGTGATAAAGATTTTTGAAGGCATGACTGAAATGCTTTTGATTAGATATTAATTCTTCTTGGTGACCTCTCCTGTTTGAGCTTCATACCCTCTTCCGACTTCAGAGGCCTCTAAATTTAGTTTCCGGATGTAAAAGAAACTCAAATGATTTTTGGTTCTGAGTACCATGAATGTAGTTGATCAGCCAAGAGCTTCTACATCTAGGCTTTCTAGCAAATGAACTGAGACAAGTTTTTAGTGACTTTTAGGTGGTTAAAGCACCTTCTTAATATTTGAATATTAAAATTCCTTTTCTCGTTATTATCCTAATCATATCTAGAGATAAACAGATGATTGTAGGCTCGATCATCTAATGCATTTAAAAACAAGGCTTTATCACATTTTTGTGTTGGTTGTATACTGCATGTTCTTAGTTTCTTTCTATGCTATTTGAGACATTAGTTGCCATGCTGCATAATTTGGAACAGCCAGTTGGCTCTGAAAATTTCTCACCAACCTAACATCGAATGCTGCAGTACAGTATGCATGCAATTTCACCATATTATTAGTTTTTTGCCTTACTTCTGTTATCTCTTCTGGTGCAGGAGAATATCAGGCGATGTGTTTGTATTGTTTACGATCCATCAAGATCCAACCAAGGCATCCTAGCTTTGAAGGCCTTGAAGCTTTCTGATTCATTCATGGATCTTTATAAGAATAATAACTTCATTGGTGAAAAGTATGCTTTACTGTTCTTCCTTTTATCCTTTCAAAGATGACCAAAAGGATCCATTTGTTTCTTTGATTAGTCCTTAGAGGATTATAACTAATGTTATTATCTAATAAGGGCTTGCTTCTCAGGTTGAGGGAGAAGAATCTTTCATGGGTGGATATCTTTGAGGAGATTCCTGTATGCCACATCTCTTGTTCTCTTTAAAGCCATTCAAGTCTTAATTTTGACTCTTATAGGAGCTCTGTATGCTGCATTTTTCTTTTATGACCGTGCAGCTAATTATTTGTTTTTCTGATGCATCTTTTGCATGAGTTACTTGAAATATATTTCCAGGTTCTCACTTCGTAAATGAAGTTTCAGAATAGGCTCTGTGTTTTCTTCAAAATGTAATTTGGAAAAGCTTGAACTTATATAGAAATTATAATAACTGGAGCTTAATTATATGAGTCAACAATTAATGGCAAGTAATCCATAATTTTAGAAGGTGATTTATGTGATATGCATGACTTTTTAAGTTTCCTCTTTGAAAAACATAAATTTGTGCTTAGTAACATGTTCCCCACACTGTATTTATTTTACCTTACCATGTTTAGGCTTTTGCATGGATATGATTTCCTGCTTTCTGTAGTGCTCATATAGACGTATGATGTGTATGCATTTGGATGTCCTGCATTATCTTTTTGATCCAATTTTGGTAGGAATAGTATGCACTATGCAGTAGTATGATAATTTATCTTTTACAGGACCTTTTTGAGATGGCAGGGTATTAGCAATACATTTTGATGGTGTCCTTTTAATTTTTGACAGATTAAAGTTTCAAATTCTGCTCTTATCAGTGCTTTTATGACTGAACTGGAGACTGATACCCCTGTCAAACAGGTAATCTTGTTTTTCCTTCAGTAGTATACTTTTTGTCTACCATAAATTTGAGTATGAATTCTAATATGTTTTCTGTCACGTGATAGTGTGACTACGACAGGTTACAACTGTCTACAAATCCATTCTTAGAGAGGAATATGGAGTTTCTGGTCGAATGCATGGATGATTTGTCAATGGAACAACAAAAGGTCCATCTTTCATTTCCCATATGCATAAACTAATATAATTTGCTTAGTGCATGACATGGCCCTTTTTCTCTTTCAGTTTCAATTCTACTACAGGAATCTCTCTCGTCAACAAGCTCAGCAGCAAGCCTGGCTTCAGAAAAGAAGGTAACTTTACTTGGACTTTTTCCTACTTGATGATTTCATTTTTTTTTTATTTTATTTTCCTGTGCGTGGATGCTTTAATTCTGTTTGTTGCTAAAATTCTGCCCCTAAACGCTTGTTGTAATTGGATTTTGCTGGGGATGGGCTAAAGTGGAACTTAGGTTTTGAAAAGATTTTAGGATGATAGTAAGCAATTTAATGTGAGGTGAAATATGCTTAGTTTTGCATGTGGGCAGGGGCGGCGCCAGGGTGGCCTTGGGGGTATTGGGCCCCCAAACCCCTGACTTTTAAGAATTTTTAAAAATATTTTTTAGAATTGGAACCATATATAATTTAAGCTGTTAGTTATATTGACAACAAAAGTATCTGCAGCCTAATGGTTATGCGCTCTTGTTTTAACGGATCTCACTATTTCTTAGATTCATGGACCCAATTCAATTTAGTGGGATCTTTCATTCGCATTTTTTTTCCACCAAGAACGTTTTCAAAGATTGGGTTTTTAATCCCAGCGTCCACAATCAATTTTTACTATTTTTATTTTGAAATTGATGCACATTGCAATCTGCAACCTTTAGTTTCGTTACCATATTCTGTTCTTTTTTTTACATAATTTCATTAACTTTAACGATATATTTCCTCATGTTGAGTTTCGCAAACTATCTATTTTAGTATTTTTAACTACAGTTAATCAAAATTTGTTTACACTATATTTTGTTGTCGAAGTTCATCAACAAAAAAATATGTAGTTTTATTGTTTTCTTCGTATGCCGCTCTCTACCAACATCCGCTATGCCACCAGACGTCAACTACTGTAGTGCTGATGACAGCCATAGGCCCCCCAATCCCAAAATCTTGGCTCCGCGGCTCCGCCACTGCATGTGGGCACATTTTATGAATATTTTCAAAATATATTGATACGAAAACAGAAGGGAGTGTCTTGGGTGACTCAGAAGTAGTCTAAAGTAGAATAGTAGATGATAAGAGTGTCGTGGTGGGCAAGTTAGAGGTCTCAAGGGAACGGAGAACTGGTCGGTATGATATGATACTGATAGAAAGTTATTGTACGCAGTTGGAAACATGTAAAGGAAAGGAACCCCTGTTTGTACCCCATTCTCTAAAATCTTATTTTTCCTCGAACTCATTTTCAACTACACATTAATTGTTATTTCATTCTAGATTAAGCCCCTAGTCCAATTATCTAAAATTCATTTTCAACTACACATTCTTCCAATAAAATAATTTTGCACGTAAAACTAGAACTTTTTCTACTTTTTAACGACACATCCTCTAAAAAATCACTATTACAAAACTCATTTTCACAAAAAAGGGGGCTCAAACGGAGCCGAAGTAAATAGAAGATAGGAACCTGGATGGCTGGACTGGACTCGTAGATGGTTACAATGTTCCTCGTATATTCAAGCAAAGAATTTTGTTTTCAAATCTTATATAGAAGTAGTTGAGCTGGAGCGTGAGCCAAAATTTGGTCGCTCAGTTAGGATATTGGAGGTACCAAGTTCAATGAGTTTGAAAATGATCAACTGAATTGATTCAGGACTTAATATGAATTTGATTGAAAATGCATCAAGGTTATGTCAGGTCTAGTTAAGTAGATCTTCTCAGAAAATATATTTAATCCCTGTTTGGCCCCATTATCTCAAAAATTTATTCATCTCTCTTATTTTCAACCACTCAATCTTCCATAAAATAATATTACATGTAAAAAAAAAAAAAAAATTCAACCACACATTCTCCAAAGAAAAAGTATTATTCAAAAAATTATAATTTGAAATAACGGGGGCTTAAATAATTAAGGGGCATGGCTATTGAGGTCGCATGTTAGTGTCTATTCTTTAATTATTCTATACTCATTCTTCATATGCTTCATTTCACTTATCCTGTAGGAATGACAACATGCAACGAAAGGCTGCTGGAGAAGAACCATTGCCTGAAGAGGATCCTTCAAATCCCGTTTTCAAGCCTATCCCTGAACCATCACGATTGGATAGTTTTCTCATAACAAATCAAATTTCCAACTACTGCAACCAAATTAATGGGTATATTGCACTACTTAATGCACTTAATTGTCATTTATGTACTAGTTTGTTTTTCTTCATCAGGCTGGCTGAACAGCGATCTTCGTCATCATCATATCATTATTATCTCTCTCTCTCTCTCTCTCTCTCACACACACACACACACACACATTTGCAAACAACCACTATCTTCACTACTTAGTCCCTGACTTTCTTTGCCATACATATTTTGAATGTGTATATTTAGTGTTTCTATCAGGATGTCAAACAGACTGGATTGGATGTATGATATTTGAAATTTTAGAAGAAATAAGATAAAACTTTCTGTTGATCCCTAACACATATTTCGGGTGTTACAAATGGCACACTCGGTGTTCTCCACCAAATAAACCTCTTCTACTTTTACTTTGACAAGAATAGTTACTCGTGTCTAAAGATACCCCTATTGATCAGAGGGTTATTTCCCTTGTTAAGCGTGTTGCCTCCTTTCTTCATTGGCATTCTTGTGAGTAGGATATCCGCCTTGTGCAATGGTTAAGATTATGCAACTTATTCAATGTAATTGTTATACTTTGGTCTATACTTGAGGAATTGATAGTGTTGTGTTGATTTGTGGCATGCAGTGTTGCTGGACAAAGCTTTAGTCGATTATATCTGATGAAGGCTCTGCACGAGGATTAAGTGCATCCAGAATGGAGGACTATGTTACCATCCAGTCTACTGCTTGGTAAAAAGCTTTGTTTTTGTTCTATAGATCTGTATTCTTTATTTAAGCCTTTGATTGATCCCGTCTTGTTTTATCATCCAGATGCTTATTAGCCATAAGATTGATGACAATGAGAAGTTAGCATTTCCCATAGAATTGATGTTGGTTTGTAAAAGCAAGAATTGAAGTAGTTTTATAAATTTGCACGACGCTGTGACACTTGGACCTGCATCACTTCTGCCCCTCCGCCCCATCTTGTAGAGCATGTTTTGCAAGCGGTATACTTTATCCCTGAACAGATGCAGATGTTTCTTTACTGATTGTGGATGCACTTGCGAGCACGAATTTGAAATGCCATTAAAATGATTTCTTCCGTCTGAAGAACAATAATAACTGTAAACAAGAAATCAAGCGCGAAAGAAAAAATCCTTCAAGCCTGCGAATACAACTAGAATTCATTTTTAAGAACATAGATTCGTGAAACAGTTGTAGCCACTGATGCCTAAAGAAGCCCTCTGTATTGGGAGAGATCAAAACGGGTATTTTGGTAAAATAGAGGGCTTCAGTGGCCACAGTCTCAACAATCACTATTCTTGAACAACTTTCACGTCTTTGGGTGCTTACGTATTCTCTACAAGTCTTTTCTCGTTTGAACCTCGTCCTTCTAAGGTTATGTCATTCTAAGGTGTTGTTAAGTGGATGGAGGTAAACAATTGCCTGTGCATGAGCAAAAAAGATCTTAACGATTAAGGTGAAGTCGTAATAAAGTAGCTGCATTAGAAGATAAAAACAATATTTTCTATGACTAATCAATGTTTGGACATGCCCCCGTTTGACCTTCATTATTTTGAATTTTAATTGTTGAAATAGTGTTTTTTGAAGAATGTGTGGTAAAAAAAAAAGATTTTTTTTTGAATTACGTGTAATATTATTTTATTGAAGAATGTGCAGTTAAAAAAAATAGAGAAATGAATTATAATTTTAATGGGGTCAAACCGGGGAAAATAACAAAACTACAACCTCCAAAATCTAACAATCGTTTGAAACTGGTCAGGATAAGTGTACGAAACAGCATGCTAAGTGTTACAAATTTCATTAACGAGTCTCTCAGTCGAGTGGAACATTTTCCTATGAATTGGGAGGAATATTATCTGTAGATAAAAAACTGTAAAACACCAAGTCCACTATTTCCCCCTTAAGATATGTATACTTTTTCAACACACCTTCTCTAACAAATCCTGCCTTCTCCAATACTCTCTGAGAACCCTTGTTCTCCAATACAGTATAAGCCTGCAGCCTTGCTAATTCAGGAAACTCCTTGAAAACTTGTCAAAGCACCATTTTCACAGCCCTGGTAGTTATTCCCTGCCCCCAGTATTGCACGGCAATTGCATACCCTAAATCTGCCCTGCACCGATCATCTCCGGTGGCCGGAGAAACCGATATGAATCCGATAGACCGGTCGTCGATACATATTGATTTGAACCAAGGGTGAGACATGCAGACTTCTTTGATGAATGTTAAGGCCTCTTCTCTAGAGGTCAGAGTATTCCACCGGAATAACCGGATAATCCTGTCATCGCCGGCCCATAAAAGTACGTCGTCGGCATCTGTTAGCTGGAAAGGCCGAATAGTGGTGCTTGCTGGATTCATGCCGGTGGGATTGGAAGGTGAAAAGGGGCAGAAACTGTGGAGTACTAATGTACTTACTATATGTATGTTAGTTAATAAGGTTTGTCTACAGAGAAATATAAAATATAAAATTCTTTCTCAAACTTTTAGATAAATTATTTATCTAATTAGTATGAGATAATCTAAAGTAGTTGTTTGAGGTCTTTAATAAAATTTACAAGTTCCAACGTTTTGTTTAAAAAAAGCCAAAATAAAGTTTGGTTCTGAGCATGAAATTTACATGAAAGGAAAATAAATTTTAAACAATTTAATCGCTTAGAACTTATTTGTATGAAACTTATTAATTAAATGAGTTTGATTGATTTAGATTTCAACCTAAAAAATACTATATTTGTTCATTTTTTATTGGTAAGTATATGATAGAGTGTGCGTTAATTACTTGAAAAATAAAATAATCCCTCTCTAAACAAATATTTTCCTTATTTTTGAGGAAAATATGTCACGTAAGCAAAAGTTGAAAAATATTTTCTATGAAATAAATTATCTATCAAACATCCTGAAAATATGAATTTTGATGAAAAAAATGACATTTTCCATGAAAAATAAAATCAATCAAACACTCTTATAGTAAAGGAAAGTGGTAAAGTTATATTTACAAATGAAATGAAACTAGCTCCTGTTTGGTTTGATAAAAATCAAATTTTTAATAGATTTTAATAAAAATTAATAAAATGTGGTTGAAAAATTGATAAAAATTATAAAACACATAAATTATGTGACTGAAAATTAACTGAAAATAAATAAATGTTAAGATGGGCCCAAATAGGGACTAAATTTTGGGAAAAATTCACAACTCAAGCTTTATCTATCCCAAAATAAAAAATCAGGCCCCAAGGTTTAGAATTGCAAAAATCAGGTTTTTCATGAATTAATGAATTAATTATATTTCACAATTATTATATTAAATTAAATATTTAACTGTAATATAATATAATTAACCCATCCACCCCCACCTCACCTCACCTCACCTCACCTCCACCTCTGCTCCGGTGACTACTACGGTGACTGACGACCACTCCGGCGACTGTTCTCCGATCACAAATTAAAAATTTTGTTGGTCACAGATTATTTCGAGGTCACAAATCTAAAATTTTAAAGGTCACAATTTTTTCATCGGTCACGGTTCGAAAATTTTGTAGGTCACAGATTTCAAAATTAGTTAGTCACAAATCAAAATTTTTAGGTCACACAGTCACAGATTTCCAAATTAGTTAGTCACAGATTTTTTCACGGTCACAGATTATATAATTTTTAGGACACAGATAGCAAAATAGTTGATCACAAATTATATTTTTAATCACAGATTGGCGAATTTTAAGGTCACAGATTAATTTTTAGTCACAGAAAACCAAAATCGCTAGATCCACCACCACCACCACCTTTACACTGTCGCCACAACCACTACCACCACCTCCACGACAACCACCACGACCAACATCACCACTACCCAAACACCACGACAACCAGTAATAATACCACCTTACCACCACACCACCAACACCATCTCCAATCTGAAACTCACAAACATAAACAAAAAAAGAAAACCCAAAAAGTTCGCACTTCCACCACCAACACCCGCCGATCAACCACCGCCATAACCATCATTTTTCAACTAACCTCTATCACCAACAGAGAGCAAAACGACACTAACCACATCAACGTCGTCGCAGTAACCACCACAACCACACATCACCACCACTTCGCCCGGTCTAATCAATGGAGAGCACAGCGCCCCGATCTAATCGACGGGAACCGCCACCGCAGCACCAACAAACAAACCCAAAACCACCTCACCATCGTCGCAGATCCACCCCCACTTGCTCCAACCACCTATAGCACTTCCATCACCACCAAATTGCAGCAGTGCCATCACCAATAAGGCTCGCCGCCTCTCCATCAAATGGACTGTAGCAAATCCACCCCCACAGACTGCAATAGCCAAGCATCGCACGCAAGCACCGCTTCTCTGATGTTCGTTCCCTGCTGTTGCTCTCCGCGACGTGAGCGCTGTGACGACGTGAGTGCAGGGAGATGTTGCCTCCAGTGAGGTGTGTGGCAATGAGAGAAGGGATGAAAGAGAAGAGCGGAAGAAAGAGACGGAAGAGAGAGAATAGACGAAAGAGGGATGAGGGTTTGGGTTTAGGGTTGAAATCTGGTGGGGGTAGGTGGTATGGTGGGTATATAAATTAATTTGATTTAAAATATCATTATTAATATTAATTGTGAAATTAAAACCTGATTTTTGATTAAATAAAGTTAAAACTTGATTTTTAAAAACTTCAAACTTAATGCTTGATTTTACGTAATTTCCACTAAATTTTTTCATCATCTAATTTGAAGTCTTCTGCTAGAACACGTGTAAGAGTGAGTGAAAGATTCGAGTACAAAAGAAAGAGAGACAAGAATTTACATGATTTTAGTCTACATTCACAAAGCGTGATTTCATGAAGTTTCAAGAATTCGGCTTAGGTCAAGTAGAATCTATTGTGCTCGAATGGAGTTGAGTTATTTTTTGTAAGTTGACTCTACTCGAGTGGTTCTCAAGGGTGTAGAGTTAAAAGTTTAATTATGGCTTAATATATTTTCATCACATTTTTTTTATTAGTGCACCACATCTAATTGTATTAAATGCTCGTAATCTTAAAACATTTTTACACTTATTTTCCAACTTTTTCGTCACATTATTATCCTTAGTCTTTCACAAATTATCATATTTTTGTCCGTGATGACGATATCTGTCAAAAAAATTATTTTAAAATGGAGTAAAAAAACCTTATTTGCCCGTCATATTTTTATATAAACCAAAATACTAACAAATTTGCAATTAAGTATTTGTCCTCATTTTTAAATACAAATTTTTGGATGAATATCATCATTAACGACAATATTTGTTAATTAATGAAGGTTAATAATAAGAATAAGATGAAAATTTTTTATTTAAAGATATAAATGTAACAATAAAAGAAGATTAAAAACTTTTAATACAATTAAAATGAGATTCATTTTCTAAAAATGGGTCAATATAACCACCCTAGAAGCCTTCTTAACCATTTGGGTTAATCCATTTTTTTTCCTAATGTATCAGTCTAGTATAAATTCACCCCCCCCCCACCCCACCCTAACTACTTGATACTTTTTAAGCGAAAATATCACTCGATTCTCCCATGAGGTCGAGTTTCATTATGCAACTTATTTCTCAAGTAAACAAGACCATTCGACTCCTAGTACCTTAATCGAGTTGCCTTTCCCAGTATGTTTTCCCTGAGTAAACAATCTTGCTCGATTGTATACTTAATTTCGCAAATATGCAAAAATAAATATATACAAAAAATAATCATTTATTTGTTTGGATCACATTATAATTTTCATTCTCATTCTTCTAATCATTTTTACTTGTCACTTCAGTAACTTTTCCTTCTTTTTCAACCACATATTCACCATTACATCGCCAAAAAAATACATTCTTTCCATTTTAATGTGCATCAAACAGCGGCTTATATCGCAATTAAATTAAAGATTTGGGACTGTTACTGTTAGAAATATTGGATCTAACTCCACCTAATAAAATCGGCTTATTAGGAGAGGATTGCCCTCACCTTATAAAGTGAATCATTTATATTTTCCCAAATTCAACACACCTTCTCTAACAAATCCTGCCTTCGCCAATACTCTCTGAGAACCCTTATTCTCCAATACAGTATAAGCCTGCAGCCTTACTAATTCAGGAAACTCCTTGAAAACTTGACAAAGCACCATTTTCACAGCCCTTGTAGTTATTCCTTGCCCCCAATATTGCACTGCTATTGCATACCCTAAATCCGCCCTGCACCGATCATCTCCGGTGGCCGGAGAAACCGATATGAATCCGATAGACCGGTCGTCGATACATATTGATTTGAACCAAGGGTGAGACATGCAGACTTCTGTGATGAATGTTAAGGCCTCTTCTTTAGAGGTCAGAGTATAACACCGGAATAACCGGATAATCCGGTCATCGCCGGCCCATAAAAGTACGTCGTCGGCATCTGTTAGCTGGAAAGGCCGAATAGTGATGCTTGCTGGGTTCATGCCGGTGGGATTGGAAGGTGAAAAGGGGCAAAAAATGTGGAGTACTAATGGAATTACTGTATGTATGTTAGTCTCCAGAGAAATATAAAATATTAAATTCTTTCTTAAACTTTTAGATAAATTATTTATCTAATTAGTATGAGATAATCTGAAAGTAGTTGTTTGAGGTCTTTTATAAAATTTACAAGTTCCAACGTTTTGTTTTAAAAAAGCCAAAATCAAGTTTTGATCATAAAATTTACATGAAAAGAAGCTAAATTTTAAACAATTCAATTACCTAGAATTTATTTGTATGGAACTTATTAATTAAATGAGTTTGATTGATTTAGTTTTCAACATGTTTGATTGATTTACTTTTCCATTTAGAAAATATTATACCTGTCCATTTTTTATTGGTAGGCAGATGAGAGAGAGAGAGAGAGTGTGTGTGTGTGTGTGTGTGTGAATTACTTGAAAAATAAAAATAATTCCTCCCTAAACAAAATTTTTCTTATTTTTGAATAAAAAATATGGTCACATGACCAAAAACTGAAAAATATTTTTCATGAAATAAATTATCAATCAAACGTCCTAAAATTATGAATTTTAATGAAAAATGAAATTTTACAAGAAAAATAAAATCAATCAAACACTCTTATAGTAAAGGAAAGTGGTAAAGTTATATTTACAAATGAAAATGAGACTACTATTCCAAAATAAAATCAATCAATAATTTTTCCTTCTTTTTCAAGCACACATTCTCTATCAATCTACTATTCCAAAATACATTCTTCTAAAATAATATGGTTCAAACACACCCCTACATGAAAAGAAAATAAATTCTAAATAATTCAATTGCTAAGAACTTATTTGTATGAAACTTATTAATTAAATGAGTTTGATTGATTTAGTTTTCAACTTAAAAAAATATTATATTTGTTCATTTTTTATTGGTGAATAGGTGAGAGATAGAATGTGGGTGAATTACCTGAAAAATAAAAATCATCACTCCCTAAACAAATATTATCCTTATTTTGGGGAAAATATGGTCACGAAATCAAAAGTTGAAAAATATTTTCCATAAAATAAATTATTGATCAAACGTCCTAAAATTATGAATTTTGCTGAAAAATGACATTTTACATGAAAAATAAAATCAATCAAACACTATTATAGTAAAGGAAAGTGGTTAAGTTACATTTACAAATGAAATGAAACTAGCTCATGTTTGGTTTTGATTAAAAAAAAAAATCAAAATCAAAATTTTAATAGATTTTAATAAAAATTAATGAAATGTAATTGAAAAGTTGATAAAAATTGTAAAACACATAAATTATGCGACTGAAAAAATAAATTTTAAGATGTGCCCAAATAGGGACTAAATTTTTTCATCGTCTAATTTGAAGTCTTCTACTGATAAAAGTTATAGAACGCAGATGGAAGAGGGCGTGAAAGATTCGAGTACAAAAGAAAGAGATACAAGAATTTTATATGATTTTAGTCTACATTCACGTAGCGTGATTTCATGAAGTTTCAAAAATTCGGCTTAGGTCAAGCTTGAATGGATTTGAGTTATTTTTTTGTAAGTTGACTCTACTCGAGTGGTTCTCAAGGGGGTAGAGTTAAAGTTTAATTATGGCTTAATATATTTTCATCACATTTTTATTATTATTAGAGCACCACATCTAATTGTATTAAATGTTCGTAATCTTTACATATTTTTACACTTGTTTTCCAACTTTTTCATCACATTATTAGTCTTTCACTAATTATCATATTTTTGTCTGCGATGACGATATCTATCCAAAATTTATTTTGAAAGGGAGTAAAAAACCTTATTTGCCCATCATATTTTTATATAAATCAAAATACTTAAATTTTGCGAATATGCAAAAATAAATAAATAAATAATAATCATTCAGTTGTTCTTGTATCGCAATTAAATTAAAGATTTGGGACTGTTACTAATACAAATGAAATATTTGAGGAAAGTTCGCAGAAAAATATAAGGTTTGGGACCCACGTTATCTCTAAAATTAGAATTTTGCTAGGGGTACACAAATTTTTAAATAATCGTTTGCATAATTATATGTGGTACATATTCAACTTTTAATTCAAATATCACATTTCACATCAACTATTGTCACATCACATTATGTACATAAATTATATTAAACAAGTATTATCCCTAAATTTAATGGACATGGCTGCTCAAGCAAGGGATCTAGAAATTGTCGTCGCCGGTGAAACAGAAGAAGATGGGGGACTATGACTTTCAACTTGTAATCCAAATCAAACCACAATTATTTGGTCTTTCGAATTTGGTAAAAGACGCCGCCTCCGTAGACCCACTAAACAAATGCTATAATCCATTATTTTGCATAATGCATGTTGGACTTTTGCGTTCTCCTCTCCCATTTAAATGGATCTTTTCGGTGTTAACGCATTAGCAATCAACGGAATTTTGAAGAGAAATGGCTGCTCCGGCGACATCAATTCACGTGGCGGTGCCGAGAATCAAGCTGGGATCGCAGGGCCTAGAAGTGTCGAAACAAGGCCTAGGGTGTGTGGGCATGTCCGCCACCTACGGCCCGCCCAAGCCGGAGATTGACATGATGAAGCTCATCCACCATGCCGTCGACTCCGGCGTCACATTTTTCGACACCTCCGATTTCTATGGGCCCCATAACAATGCTTTTGCTTCAAATTTTGGTCATCCTATGCTGAAATAGACGTTAACTTAGCAAAAATGTAGGCTTTGAAAGGAAGAATAAGGGAGAAAGTGCAATTAGCTACCAAGTTTGGAGTACAATTTAAGGATGAGAAAATTGAAGTTCGCGGAGACCCAAAGTATGTGAGGGATTCATGTGAGGCCAGCTTGATGCGGCTCGAAATGGACTACATTGATCTCTATTATGTTCATCGGATCGACACTCGTGTACCAATCGAAGTCACGGTTTGTCCCTCTCAAACTCTTGATTATTCGTGTGCTATATTGATAACATCGATCGACTTACAAAAAAATTATGTTGATTATTATAATGCGATTAACGATTACGCTCAAAATGAGGGCAAATTACAATGACTTCGACTTGTAATCGTAGCATTCCGAATTACAAGATCTGTCGAACTTACTAATGTTTTAATCTCTCTAAATAGTAGGAGGGCTAAAAAATACAAGAAAATAATATTCAAGATTGAAATACAAAATACAGAATAGTGCACAAAGGAAAAAAAAAATGTTATTTTGCAAGAGAGAATTTGAATTGATTTTGGAATAAATGAAATTCAACATATGGTGATCAATGATAAATCTAATTTGCCAAAAGGATTTGACAAAAAGCTTGACATAATTGCATGTGTCAGTAAATGATTAAATGAAAAAATTAATTATCTTTTAAACTGTCTAATGATAGAATGACGCGTGGTATTATGTCAACATTGATGTTCATGTAGCACGATTGTGGTGACCAATTTATAAAAACTGAAAAGTTGTGTCTTGAATAGACACAACCTGTCTAGAAGTTCGAACTCTTGAAAACGTAATTTATCCACAGCCAACAAATAAAGCTTGTGATTGAAGATCATCTCTAACTTCAATCAGTTACTTGTATGAAAATTTCACATAGAAATCATACTGAATTCAATCTTTTGCCAAGTAAGGATTTGAGTCTAGCATCTTTTGTGTTTGTTCTCTAATATCAATATTTCTTCTTCTATTTCTCAAAAGATTGGAGAACTGAAGAAGCTGGTTGAAGAAGGTAAAGTAAAATATATAGGTTTGTCAGAGGCATCTGCTTCAACAATCAGAAGGGCTCATGCTGTTCATCCATTAGCTGCTGTTGAGACTGAGTGGTCTTTATGGTCTCGAGATTTGGAGGAAGAAATAGTTCCTACTTGCAGGTAGGAACTCTTTTTTCATTTGTCACTGCTTTGTTCAGGGAGTGAAGTAATAATGCAACATTATTCTCTCTGGTCTTGTTATCTTCAGGGAACTCGGTATTGGGATTGTACCATATAGTCCTCTTGGACGAGGCTTCCTTGCTGCCGGTCCCAAATTTATTGAGAATTTGTCGGAGGGTGACTTCCGTAAGGTTAGTACTTTGAGCACGTTCCATAATTTCAAGCTCTTGGACAGCATTTGCGCACATCTTAAAGTTTAAGTTTTGACAGAGATTTCCAAGGTTCAAACCAGAAAACCTAGAAAAGAACAAGCAAATATACCTACATATTTGTGAAATGGCAGCAAGAAAAAGGTGCACCCCTGCACAATTGGCATTGGCTTGGGTTCATCAACAGGGTGATGATGTGTGTCCCATACCAGGCACCACCAAGATTGAGAACCTAAACCAGAACATTGGGGCATTATCAGTGGAATTGACAGCACGTGAGAAGGCAGAACTGGAGTCCTATGCTGCAGCTGACGCAGTTAAAGGAGACAGACATGCTTTTATGAGCAATACTTGGATTAATTCAGAGACACCCCCATTATCACATTGGATTGCAGAGTAAAAGATTTTCATTTCCCTTTTTGACAGCATGCTCTGTTGAAGTTGTGATTTACCTAAATCCAAACCCTGATTTTCCCCGGTGCATTATGTAATATCAATTTAATGAATAAAGACATCTACATGTCCAATACTATGAAACAATTGCAGTTCAGGGAAGTGAAGATGAACCTATAAATAACCAAGAGAAAATACTGGGAAGGCTTTACACAAAGATGCATTACTGAATTAGTGGCAAAATATTTACATAAACATGTGCATACATACAAATACACACACAAGTAGAATCTATACTCTTTGCTCCATACTAGTACAACTGATTACTTGTAACCCAAGACAAAAACCCAGAGATACCACTAAAATTTACTGCAGTAGAGTCACACAGAGACTCAAGTAGACTTCCCTTCCTTGAAGCAGTCCACTTCCCTCAGCACTGTCCGCAGCCCTTTGCCAGCTGCATTCGCCAATGGATGTATTCCATGATCAGGGCCGTTAATGTGTGCTCGATTCTCCTTCTCCTCCTCAAATGAAATATTAAAGCGATTCTCGACATCTGCATACAGAAATCATCACCCCACTAAAGAAAATCATAACTCGGAAGTCAAAACACTATGGTTATGTTTGGCGAACCGTGTAGCGTGGAGTACCCGTCTTTGGACAATTAAGCTACTTGTGCAGATGATGTTTACACATATGTAGATGATGAGGTAAATTCAAATCAAGAGCCACAGTGCATGCCAACTCATCATTTGTCAAACTTTCGGCCAAACTAACCCTATGTGTCCCATAACTCATCTTTTGGAATGGAAAATCTAAGCAATAAAGCTTTGTGTACAAAGTTGAGTTACATAGTGCGTTGACAAAATTCAGACTATTGATTTCAAATGATTTTAAAATGATTGGTGAACATGTTATTTTGTGAACCAACTTTGTAACTCAACTTTGTACGTGTAGCATAACTCGAATATTAACCACCACACTGCCTTCCAAGCAGGGGCGGAGCCAAGGGAGGGCCTGGCCCCCCTCCCATTTTTGACCAAATTTTTTTTTTTTTTGTAATTACAACTTTCAACGCATTTTTCACATCGAAAACATTGGAATTTGAATATGACTATTTCTAAAAGAATTGTAGCCCTTCGAGTTAACTTTCCAACGAAATTTGAATCATTATAATCGGATATCGGTAGAGTACGTTATGATGAAAATACCGACGATTGCTCAACCCTCGCTCGACTTTCGTTAGAGGCTCGCTCGAGCGACCAATGCAGTAACTTTTCACCCGAGTTTCGCCCGATTATAATGTAGTTATACACCGTTATCAAAGTATGATTTTGCTAAATTAAAGATTAGTACTTTCTTTTATACGTTTCTTGATTTTTTAGTTAACAACGTATCCAAAAAAAAATTTCGAGGACGATGCCCCGAACCCCCGTGGACCCCCACCACTTCACCTCTACGTCTAGGCCCCCACGTTCAAAGTCTGGTTCCGCCCATGCTTCCAAGTAGTTCTATCCATTTCAATTTTATACCAAATTCCTTGTATGACCTAATCTGGTGTAACAATGAACTAAACAAATGCCCATAATACCTTTAGCAAGATTTTCATAGAGCTGGCCATCCCTAGTGAGAGCCATCATAACTTGAGGGATTCCAAGGGGAAGATTGTCACCTTTATCAACCTGCCAGAAGTGAATTACCTTACCATAAGTCTTGGCAACCTTCTCTAAATCCTGGCGCTGGATGGGGCCGGGAACTCCGGGCATGAACAGAACCCCACTCTTCACTTCAAATTCGTGAGAGTGCCAGAATTTCTTCTCTTCATCTGGCAGTGTCAAGAACAGTTGTTCAGATACTATATATTCCAGCCCAATCAGCCGCCCATCATCATCAGGCCTGTCGTATATAAGACACTGCCTGAATTCCTCGTTTAGATGTCCACAGAAATGGTGCGCTTCCACCTGTCGAGTCATATCATGCCCATAGAAATGAAATCTGAAACCAAAGAGAAATTTTAACAAACAGATAGTGTGCCACATAATAATCTCCACAAATTGCCAACAAAATCACACAAATGGGCAGGAACCAAAAAGGGATTACGCGCAGAGATGCTGGTGAATTTTGTTAACAGGGCCAAACCCTTGAATAGTGGCGGTGGCCTTCTCAAGAATGGCTGTTCCTGTCTGGGTCGGCTCACCAGGAATCTCTGGATGGGTAGAAACATTAACTCCTTCCATTTATTTTCCTTTCCTTTTCCCTTCTCCAATTGATCCCACAACACAGATCGATCCCGTTGAATTTGAGAAAACTGCACTTGGTTTGCATGTTGAGATGGAGCCAGGAGGCGTATTTAGCTTGGAGGGACGAGTGCATGCAAGCTCACACGTGGCATTGGACGTAGCGTGCTGTGAAATGGGTTTATAAGGTGGCAATCGTGCGTGTTGTCAATCTCGGCATATTCTACGGGATAAAAATAGGTAGTCGGTGAAAACTACGTGCCAACGGTACTCGACTAGCTCTGAAGTCTGAGCTAAGAGTGTGTTTGGTAGGGATTTTTTGGGGAAGAATTGATTTTTGAATAGTGATATGATAGGAAATGTGTGATTGAAAAAGAAGAAAAAATTATTGATGTGATGGAAAATATTATTTTATTGAAAAATGTAT